CCTTAAAGGCTACTGCTTCAATTTTCTTTCAGTAAAAGCAGTCACACGAGTTTAGGCCTATATTCTTAACAGGGTGAAATACACAAGATTCAAACATATTGTAACATTTGCAATATTTTACTAATGTAAAATGTGACATGTGCACAATCTAAAGGCATAAATATTGAGAAAAAAAATCTTAGCGAGTTATAATCTTAGAAGCTTCATTTAGTCGTAAAAAAAGTAGTGAACTGAATTGATATAAATATTCATATATCCTTCCTCTTATATTTGTTCGTTTATAATTATAGCCTCACCTTATATTTCATAGTTTTCAAATGGTACACTAAAGGTTACAAAGGGAAATATATGTATTACAAAAGTAACTGCAGAATTAAAGGCATTTACGCGCTTCCTCATTATGCAATAACATTACCATGAGATGGTTAGTGGGTCACATTCAAGTGATACAGTACATGTTCGTCTATGACACAATTTATATATGCAGATTGCATAGACTTCGGCGTTTTTTTTAATAATGTTGCGTTCGGAACTGCTTGTCCAACCAGGAAGGTCGAGCAAACTAATCAGAAAAAACGTTCCAAACCCCAACTTATTTGGAAGTCATCAACTCGTGCCTCCTGAGAGCAGACCGAGTTCGACGAGATGGCTTTGTTGGTAAACAAAAGATGGCGGACGACATAAATATGAAATAAAAATTACTAAAATCTTTTCATAGCATGCCCCAATGAGGATGAACATATTTGTTTCCGTCTAGCGATTGCACATCCGCAGAAAATTAAAACAAATTTGACTGTGGCATTCAGTGTGCCTTTCTTGCTGAACACAAGATCTCGGCGAAATGAACAAACAGACAGCCACAGACACTTACGGAACTAAGGAAAGGTGTGGCAAGGAGAGAAGAGGTGACTCCCGTTGTCTCCTCTGCATTGGGCACGAAGTAACAGGTAGCGAGGTTATCTCCCTCACACTCACTGTGGGAAGAACATTTATATAGCATCGCTAGAGACATTTTCACACTTCTTTTCATGTCGGATTCCTCACACGGCTCACAGTGGGAACATCTCAAATAACATCCGTAGTTTAATCTCTCTCTCTCTAGCATACTGCAGAGTTATGCAATCTAGCTGACCACGTGGCCGTGTTCACACCACGAGGGATAGCCCTCGTGTGTACCCACACTCGCTGTCTGCCCACACCTAGATAAAACCCAAGCCTGCCTCGGGCACCCATCAGGCCTATAAGAGGTCAGCATAGGTTGACCCAGCTCTAACTCGCTCACTCGCTCACTCCCTCCGAGAGTAACCTTGGAGGGAGCACCTCTTATACTCTCTCTCTCTCTCTCTCTCTCTTTCATCATTCAACGACGTGATCTTATAATGGGATACAAAACCGTTCGTAAAGTCTCACAAAAAATTCCCCGCCACTTCGCCGTCAGTGCAGTAGGTGTGCCTGAGGGTCTCGTTGCCGTCGTAGGACCTGGTGGCGGAAGGGAAGATCGGGTCGGCCCTGTGCCCGTACTCCTCGAACACGCCCCACCGGTACTTGGCCCACTCGTGCACGAACACGCTGCCTGTTCGGGAAGGAAGGGGTAAGGGCACGGAGAGGTCTATACAGGTACGTAGGTCTGGTTGAGTGGCTCAGGGTTGCGGTCCTTGTGAGATGGATTATGTAGACGTGTATTTTACAGTATATTTATGTACGTAAATAGGTCTACACATTTAGCTTACGGGACGAGATAATAAATCCTTAAATATTTGCAACTTCAGACACGAAGTGTAAATGGTTCAACCCTCTCACCTTAAGCAACTGTTATTATTCATGTCTTGAGGAATTGAAAGTGATGAACTATATACTACTTCATCCCTAAAAGTGTTTATGAATTTACCCCTTTGTCTCTTAAGGTTAAAGGGTTGGACTATTTATTCCTTTGTCTAAGGTGAAAGTGCCGAACCATTTCCCATTTGCCTCTTAAGATATCTCAAAAGAAACTTTTTTAAGGGATTAGTGGTAAAGAATGGAAATCGCTTATCTGATATCAGAGAGCTATCTGCATTTCCTGTATTTTTCATCTCCAGATACCTGTTCATATATATGAATATATTTTTACATTTAAATGTATAATTATATTCTCTCACCATGATTTAGTTTTTCAGAACATTCCCTTTAATGTATTTCTTCCTTACAATCTATTTTTACCACCTTTCTATCTTAACTATTTTGTCTTTGTACAATTAATATATTGACCACATTTTCTCTATGCACCTTATTCATTTTCATATTTATATTTTTCTCTCTCCCTGTGACACTTACCTCGAGATCCCAGCGTAGAATTTTCGAGAAGGAACGACTCGGGGAAGTACATGAAATCCCCGGGTTCTCCGCAGCCTCGAGGTTGTTGCGTCCACGGATTCTGACCGAAGACCGAGTGCAAGGCCCCACCCGCAGGTTGGCTCGGTCCACGCCACGTAGTGGTTCCTGCGACCCCTGGCAAGTCCAT